CTTAAGCACATTTTGAAAAGTGTTTCACATGTTTTAAGGGTTTAGGCCAAGATCTCCACGCATTAGCATCCTAAGAGCATCGTTCCATAATATTTTCAGGGAAAGCTTGGCTTGGGGAGGGCCATTCTGCATTTTTGTTACTTCCCATTAACCGGTCGAGTCATATCAGTCACACAGATTTGTGACATCCTGTGAAGCCAAGTAGTAATGCTAGTCGACGTCCGAAGAAACTGCTTGCTGACTCTTGTAAAGTAGTGAAGGCGACATTGGGAGGTAGCAAAAATGCAAAATGCCCTCCTCCCTCTCCCAAGAATTGTGCCAGTTTCCAAAATTTTCACTGTTTTCGGTAAACATGTCGGGCGGCTTTGAACCGTTCGCCCTCTCTGAAGAAGATGTGCTGAAGCTTATTGCTACGCAAGCTCACATCGGCTCCGCTAATGTGGACTTCCAAATGGAGCAGTATGTTTACAAGCGTCGTTTCGATGGTTGGTTTTCAATAATTTTCTTCCTTTTTGAGCTTTCTAGATGACTTATCTAATTTTTTTCTACCTGGTGGGGACTCTTTACAGGAACATACATTATTAATCTGAAGAAAACTTGGGAGAAGCTTCTCTTTGCGGCTCGTGCCATCGCTGCCGTTGAGAATCCCGCTGATGTGGTCGTTGTCTCAGCTCGACCATATGCTCAGAGGGCCCTCCTCAAGTTCGCTGCCCATACTGGTGCTACTGCAATCTTCGGCCGATTCAGTCCTGGATGCCTCACCAATCAGATCCAAAAGTCCTTCAAGGAACCTCGACTTCTGGTCATTTCTGACCCTCGTGTGGATCACCAGGTATTGTCTTCATTGATTTCATTTTTTCTTCCGTCTATTACTTCTATTGGGTGTGGGAAGAACTAAGTTTCAATTATGTCTTTTTTCTTGGTTTTTTTTCATATGTTTGCTTCTAAATAGAAATGCTTCTGAACTTAACAAAGTTACTGTTTGATCCTATTGGGTCTGCGGACAAAACAGATTCCCTTTGATAGCTTCGATTTCCTGCCCTTGTGCATTTTATGGATTCCTTTACCCTCACACATTGAGACTTTTTAACTTGTGATGATTTACTCAGCCACCCTGGAACCCCTCTTCTCGAAAAAGTCTATCCGCACGTGTTTTTTCTTCGCACATTCCAGTACTCATCCGAAAGTAATCCACTGTCTGTCTGCGCTGTAGGGTTTCGCAGGAGGACTTTTGCAGCTAGATCCAAGTAGTCGCGTAACCGTCCGATTTCTGGAACAGCTCTTGTGAGTGGTATGACCACGATTCCAGACTTGTGTTAGTTTTCAGTCTTTTTGCAAACGAAGTGCTAATTTTCGTGTGTTCCTAGTGGCCAACTTTTTACCTTATGATTTACGGTGAA